ATAAGCATTCATGAGCCTTCCAGCCTGAGCATTTTTAAGTCCATTTTCTAACTCTCAAAAGGCTTAAAGTGATTTCTTAAAGTCAGTCTTTTTATCCAGGATTACACTCTTGGTGCAGCAGTGTATAGCCTCTTGAAAGCAACTTCATTTTCAAGATTTCAGCTAGGGCAGCAGTTTCAAATGTTATAGGGTAGAACAAAATTTTATTAGAATACTGAGGAGTGAACAGAAGAGACTTACACCTACATCTAAGGAGCTCTAGCACTTTGACACCATCATGGACTCCAATCCACAGAAGTATAATGCGCTTCGCTTCTTATCATTCTAAATGAGACTGAAAAGTTACTGTTGTCAAGAGGCAAAGGGTTTTCTTTTTTGGAAAGTGCTGGTGCATTAATGATTCCAAACACTAACTGAGCAAGATTAGAAATAAAACTCCCAGCTACTTAGTAGTTTTTTTTACCTCAGTGGTCACTTTTGTTATTTTCACCTGCTGTTTTGAGAGCAGAATGACGGAAGTTACAGGAAAAATTATTTTTAACTAAATGAACTGATCCAACATTCTGAAACTGTTTTTAGTTCTTGGATTTTAGCAAAATGAACCAGAAGAGTTGGTAAAAAAAAAATCTGTGTCTATCTTTCAAAGTTTTACACAAATAAAGACAATTAATTAAACTTTACATTACAAAGCAGGCACTATAGGCTCATGGAAGCAAGTTAAAATATAAAATGTATAGCAGAGTCTGAGCACCAGAGAGTAAGCTTAGAGCTAAACAGAAGTGAAACAAAAGAATCACTGCATTGTCATTTCAGAATACCACAGGAATAAAGAAGTCTATCCATTCTTCCCAGCTATCATGCAGAATTCTTAGCTTTTAAATTTCTAGCTGTACCATATCTATTTAGCAGAACAGACTAAAAATAATGATCTTACCCAAGTTCTTTGAAAATTCTGGGAATTTCCTCTTCAAATTTTGAGTCGGGCAGTTCGTAAGAAGGGCAGAGAAATCCATAGGTAAAAGTGAAGATTTTTAAAAAGTCCTTTACTGATGGAGACTGTAGTGATTTCATGGAAACATTATGGGCATAAGCATTCTGAACAAGAAACTGAGAAAAAGAAACATGGCATAATAGTTACTAAATAAAATCTAAAGTTGAAACAATGAAAAATATTTTTATCTGTTATGCCTAATAACAAACATTTAGAATAAGTTAATAAGTTACCTCACAAAGCTGCTTGATACATTGTTGGATGAATGCCTTGTCATGAAGTGGCCTGGGATCCTTGATCTTTTCTGTCCCAAACACACCATACTGACTGTTCCGTGAACCTCCAGCCCCACTAGCTCTAAGAACAAAAAATAAGTACAGTTCTTGGGACAAACATTAAGAGAGTTCTTCTTTATATGTGTTAAGTCAGTACAATTGCTATTTTAATGTTTCTTTTGTATTTGTTACGCAAACGGATGCCTGAAGGTTTCTCTTTCTTTAGCATGATTGGAAATCCAACAAAAACCTGTGAGCTATGAGGGAATACTGCATCCTAGATGAATATATTCTTCAGTTTATTGAAAGAAATAGTTTTATAGAAGAGAAAAACACCCCAAAGATGAAGAGACAAAATGAGGTAGTTGACTGACAATAAAGACTAAAATGTTTAAGGAATATTCAAAATGAACAGATTCCTGCAACAGTGGGGTCCTATAAAAGAAGATGCCTGCAAGACATCAGAACGCACAAAGCCATGTACTAAGCTGAAATATTATAGAATTTGGAAAGGTTTGCACCTTAGAAGAAACTAAGGCAGAGTGTACTGGAGATATCATTCTTCCTTAAACAGGCAAATATACTGGGGACCTCTTACAGTCTGCAGTGCATATCATTCCCAAGAGGAAGAATAGCTCTCAAAGCAATTCCTACTCCATGGTATTATAGTTTAGTGACCAAAAATGAAGGCAGGCAGACCTGAAGGTCTGCTGGCTTCAGGTCCATTATTTCCTATAATGAAAATCTGTCAGAAGAAAAAAATTACAAAACAATGTGGGACTCTTACTATTTTAATTTACAGCGCAGCGATCTAAAGCTATTAATACCTCTTTCCAAAAAAGCTGACTTTTCTTTCTGAAGTTCCAGGTGTAGGTTTGCTCATGCTCAGCTTCCCAAATGTACCTCTGTCTTTCCTGAGGGATAGGGAGAAGGATTAAAGCAATTATTTCTACCATTTTATCTCTTGCTTATGTAAGAAAACTATAAGCACATGCATATAAGCCTAAGCATCTTCAGCATAGCAGCATCTTAGAAAAGTCAACTGATTTTAATGCCTTTTGTGTCCATTCTCAAAACTACTTCTGCAAGAAGATTTATAAGTATGCATTTTATACACACACGCACCCAGCCACCTCCTAAGAAATATACAAGAAAAAGTGTTACAATTTGAAATGTGTCATGGATACACAAATAGATTAAAGAAAGATTTTTGCAGAACTGGAACACTTTTGCAAATATCCTTGGCTGCCCGGAGTTTTCTTCTTGCTGCTCCTATCTTTTTTTTCAGTTGCTACTCAAACACTCAAACACACCACACTAAATCTCTTCAGAGTTACTGTCGTATACTCATTCTTAGCAAGATGATCAGCAATACTTACGTCTGGGGTGTCTGAAGACCCATCTTGTTGTTGTCCTGCACTCTCAGTGCCATCATAGATTGCCGGCCGCTGCTTCCGGCAATACTTGAGCTTCGTCTCATTGTGACTAAACTGTAAATCACAATCGGTTAGTACTGGAAAATTCAGGATATAAGAGTATTTTCTTTTTTTAAACACCATAATGACTTTTTAAAGGGTCAGAATAAGGAAGAGGAAGTGTACTTTGGACCAAAAGCTGTCTCTTTTTTAGAGTTTCTCTCTAAAAAAAAAAAAAGAAGTGGTGTATGCCAGACTCCAGAACTACATAGCAACAGCCACAGCCTTTCAAATTAAGTATTTTATTGATGGAAGTGCCAGTACTTCTTCCAAACCTACTATTTTGCCTTTATTTATATCTGATAATTTCTAATCTATAGGTTCCGAAAGTAAAACGGCTTAAGAAGTTTTTCAGTCCAATCAGCTGGGAGGAAGGCCACGCTAACATGGCTACTGTTTCTAGAACTTCAGCCATCCATCTATTCCTTATTCATTAATTCTGAGACTGCTTATTGATTTTACAAATGATCGCACAGTATCATAGCACAACAACTGGAAAGCTTATTCTGAGATAACATTATGGCTATCTTCAGACTACACACACAAAATATTAATCAAACTGGAGGTATTGAACTGTCCTTGCAGTGGTATAAAAGGGGATTTTGAGGTAAATAGAATTAACTATGCAAAAACCACCAACTTTCGTTCTCTACAGAGTATCCATTTTATTTGTGGGGTGGATTCAAATGACTGAATTCAAACTAAATGAAAAACCTTCGTTACAAATATTACCAAAACACATTATCAATATAAATTGTTTCACAATTACACTTCTAATTCCAGTTCTTGCAAATCATGACAGAAGTTTAGCTTAGACCCACTTCATAGAATTATCTAGCTTAGAAAGGACTTTTAAGATTATCGAGTCCAACCATCAACCTAACGCTGCCAAAACCACCAGTAAATCATGTCCCTCAGCACCACATCTACTTGTCTTTTAAATACCTCTAGGGATAGCAACACCACCACTTCCCTGGGCAGTCTGTTCCACTGCTTGATAACCCTTTCTGTGAAGAAATTTTTTCCTAATATCCAATCTAGATGATCTCCAGAGGTCCCTTCCAGTACCATATCAGTCTGTAAATCTGTAAACTTGCAGTTTCCTCTTGTCCTATTGCTTATTACTTGGGAAAAGAGGCCAACCCTGACCTCTCTACAACCTTTCAGGGAGTTGTAGAGAGTGATGAGCTCTCCCCTCAGACTCCTTTTCTCCAGGCTGAACAACCCCAGTTTCCTCAGCTGCTCCCCTTAAGACTTATTCTCCAGAACCCTCGCCAGCTTTGTGCCCTTCTCTGGACACGTTCCAATACCTCAATGTCTTTCTTGTAGTGAGGGGCCCAAAAATGGACACCAGCACTCGAGGTGTGAGCCTCACCAGCGCTAAGTACAGGGGGACTATCACTTCCTTGGTGCTGTTGGCCACGCTGTTACGGATACAGGCCAGGATTCAGAGCAGTTCTTCCATGATCTCATTTTCTCTGGAGAAAGAAGACATATTCAGTCTTTCAATATCTGAAGGGTGCCTATAGAAGAGCTGGGGAGGGACTCTTTGCCAGGAAGGGTAATGATAGGACAAGGGGAAACGGTTTTAAATTGGAAGAAAAAAGATTCAGATTAGATCTCAGGAAAAAATTTTTTACTATGAGGGTGGTGAGACACTGGAACAGGTTGCCTAGAGAAGTTGTGGATGCCCCATCCCTGGAAGTGTTCAAGGCCAGGCTGGATGTGGCCTTGAGCAACCTGGTCTGGTGGGAGGTGTCCCTGCCCATGGCAGGGGGGTTGGAACTACGTGATCTTTGAGGTCCCTTCCAACCCAAACCATTCTATGATTCTATGATTCTTCTATCTCTTTACCAAGAATCTACTCCAGGCGAAACAAATTATTGTCGTAAACGCACCAAATGACTAGTTTACAGAGCAGAACCAGCTGGACCCCACACGCCACCGTAAGCCAGGCTTTCCCCCGGTGCGCAGCCAAGGGCTGTCCCAGGGGCCGGCGGGGCAGTACCTGCCGGCCGCCACCCGCCCCACAGGCGCCGACCCCGGGGTTGCCGCCGACACCAACACCCCCCTCCTCTCCTCCCTCAGCGGGGAGGGCCCGCGCCCCCAAAAGACCCGTCCCCACAGCCACAGCCGTTACCGTTAACGACAACGACGCCCGTCTCTGAATTTCAAATCCGCCCGCCCGACTGACGTCACGCGGCGCGCCACGTAAGGCAGAAGGCGACGCGGAAAATGTGTCGTCGCTTCCGCTCTCCCGGCCGCTCACCTCCTGAGCCCCCGGGTTCTCCCGGAAGTTCTTAAGCGCAAAGGTCGTGTCCGTACAACAATATGGCGGTGCCCACGTAGGGTGCAGAGTCGGCGGTAAGTGCGTGAGGTGCTGCTGTGCTATACCGAGCCCCGAGGTTTCTCCCCGGCCGCGATGAGAGGCGGAGGGCGGCCCCTTCTCTACCCACCCCGTTACGGCTTCGAGCCGCCGCGCAGCTCTTCCCCTCCGTCTCGATGGGGCTTGTGTCCGCCGTGGCGGTGAGGAGGGGGCTGCTTTTCCCGCAGGCCGCTCTTGCCGCCGATGGGTGGTGGGATGTGTCAGGGGAGTGGGTTCTGGGGACACAACCGGGCTTCCAGGGCCTGTGTACCTGCGGGGTGCCACCGGGGCCTGGCCGCTGGTCCTGCAGCTGCCCCTCTGCTTGTGCTGCTCCTGAGGGCTGCCCTTCTGAGGGTTTATACAATCGCTGTGTCACAGTGCTGTTTTCTAACTTGTTAGAAGAGTCCTCTTAGATTAAGCTTGTACGGTGTAAAATTATTAAAACTTATTTAAAATTGTCTTGATATTAAAAGGTGAAATAGGGATGCAGCAGAAGTCATGGAGGGGGGAAGCCAGCTGAAGACAGAAGTCTCTGTAGTGTGTCCTGTGCGGGCATGGCAATGTCCGTCAGAAGATAGGTGCTATTTAATAAATGGTGATAAGTCTGACAAATGAGCTTTTAAAAAAAAATTCCCACAGGAGGAGTTTGCTCCAGGAAGTGTGCATAATTGCCAGCTACGGTTTCAGGGAGTTGATTTTTCTTCCTGAAAAGGGGAGCTATGATGTCTGTGGTACATCGGCTGACAGCGGGATGGCTTGTGGATCATCTCTCTTTCATCAACCAGTGTGGTTATGAGGTCTGTGACTCCTTTGCATACTCTGGTGGTGTCAGTCTCAGTACTTCTGTCAATTCCATTGGAGATTGTCGCGCTACTTCTACCTTTGCTGCCACCTCCTCGTCAAGAGATGGTACTACTCCTGGTATTGGAGATACGATAGAAACAGAAGGTGAAACAGCAAGAAAGAGATATGTGTTTCGGGAGGAGTTCTTTGATATTTCTAAACCTCATATAGCTGCAGCTCCTGAGAAACAGCTATGGCAGGGATGCCCTGAGGTGAGTCTCACAGAAGTGACAGCCAACAACAACAGAGGGGAACACCGTGAAGGAACCAAGAGTGCCATCGGAGATTCTGTTGCCAGTGCTAGGAAGGTATGTTCTCCATAATAGTAAATTATGGTAATCCCCTGGTAAATAATATACCATAGAATAGTTCAGGTTGGAAGGGACCTTAAAGATCATCAAGTTCCAACATCCCCCTCTACCATGGGCAGGGGTACCACTCACTGGACCAACCAACTCACAGGTTGCTCAAAGCCCAATCCAACCTGGCTTTGAACATTTCCAGGGATGGGGCATCCACAGCATCTCTGGACAACCTGTTCCAGCGTCTCACCACCCTCACAGTAGAGAATTTCTTCCAGATATCTAACCTAAGTCTCCCCTCTTCTGTTTTGAAGCCATTACCCCTTGTCCTGTCACTACATGCCCATGTAAAAAGTCCTCCAGCTTTCTTGTAGGCCCCCTTCAGATACTGGAAGGCTACTATAAGGTCTCCCTAGAGCTTTCTCTTCTCCAGATTAAACAACCTCAATTCTCTCAGCATGTTAGCCACTAACATTGGCTTGCACATTTCAGTTTCCTGAGGTTATGTAGGCAAGCAGGAACTTTTCCACAAGGATTCCAAGATGCATGGAAAATGTAAGCGCTTATGAGGCTGTGCTTCTGTCCCTTGTGTCAGTAACGTGCATCCTGTGACTCAAAAGCAGTGGGTTGCTCACAAAGTACTGATTTTGTTTATGATCAGGCACTTGAGCTGAAACTGTGGTAGCTGTCAAGATTGTGGAAATTAACGAGGGAAGCACAGTATGAATTTGCTTTCAATACATAGGTTGTTCAGTACTCCTCATTATGAACCAAAATGAAAGTCACAAGTCTAAACCAACAATTGTAATAGTGAATGCCTAGGTAATTATCTCCTATTATTGGTAAACTGCGCTTGGCAGCTGAAAAAATGCCTTCTAGCATGGACTCAAAGGAGGCATGAACATGAACTGTGGCATGTGCTAGGTATTTTCAGATCCTAGTGCCATGAGTAACATAACATAACTCTAAGCCTATATACCTTGAGAATGCCTAGAGCAGCCTAGGTATTTTGAGATTGTCTTTTTGCTTATGGGACTTATTGTTGTGATAGAAAAAGACAGAGGTGGAAAGTTTCTTCTGCTTTAAAAAGAGTTATTTTGTAATTCAGGTATATTTGATTACTTATTTTTTCCTTTTGTCATGCAGTAATATGGTGTGTGTCCCCCCCCGTCCTCCCCATTTGCTCATTCTGCAGAAACGTAAAAGGAAATGTGTATTCAACCAAGGTGAACTGGATGCTTTAGAATACCATTCAAAGGCAAGTAAATAATACCTGACTTTGGGCTGTGCATGGAGTGCAAGACATGGTTGCAGACAAGTTCTATTCTTGTAGCTTGTACCACTAATGGGAAGGTCATCTCTCCAGCTCTTACATGAGCGAGTGCATAGAGAGAGCATCTTCTGTGTAGATCTGTGCAAAACAAACTAGATGTCAAACTGCAGCTGAGACACTTTGAAGAGCTGGAAGCTGCATTCACAGAACATCTTGTACTGCTATGGTTAACTGAGCGTTATATAGTGATGAGCTGAATGTTAATTGAACAGGAAATGACTGATGTGAAATAAACAGCGTAGCCTTTTCTGAAAATCAACTCATCTTTAGCATATTGGGACATTATGCTGATACTCAAAGCTTCTCTGAGAAAGGTGCTCCAAGATGTATCACTTCTGCTAATGAGAGTGGATTGTCCCCTCTAACATTTTACGTTGTCATACTAAAGCATGATGAATTAATTGGAATTCATGTCTCTATTTACGCTTATGTCAGTGATGTACTGGTGAAGTTACAACTGAATTACATTATTAATAAATCCTAGAAATGTGATCTGTGGTTTATGTTTGATGTATTCTTACTGATTTCCTAAATAGCGATGTGAACCTGAATGAGGACGTACGCTTGCTTTCCTTTGATGAAGGTCTATTGTGCTTTTTTGTTTAATTCTGTTCCTATTGGACTCTATTTAAATGACTAAATTTTTCTTCTTTTACATGGCAACAATTTTGTAGTAAACATGTACAGGTTGCTATGACAGCATGTAAAGGTCCTGTAATTGTTGTGAATAGGCCATGCATGTGCAGAATCACCTTAAAGGAGAGAACTTTGGAGTTCAGCATCCAACATGGGCTTATGAGTATGAAAACCTTTAACCTAAAATAAAGTCATTCAACAGTAAGAGTAAGGGAAGAAATGAAGAGAAGATGTTTGATGTCTGGAGACCTATGTAACTTCAAATGATTTTTAGTGAATATGCAAAAAGACAGTTTTGAAAAATCTGTGATTCCAGTTAGCCTCTGATACCGTTCACAGATTAGAATGTATGGGTTTTTAATGTATTTGTAGTGTTAAAAGTTGGCTAGTCAATTCAGATTATTTTGGTACTTATATATTTAGAATAATTTTCAAAAACAACCCCAACAACCCCATATTTGTGTCTGCCAGTGAAAGTAGGCATTGAATCCATTTGTCAGTTTCAGTTGGAGTCAACATATGCAACAGTACAAAATACGCTAAATTCCTTCAGCAGCCACTTGTTAAAACTACTGTTTAAATTGCTTGATAGTCAAGAGGCTTTCTCCACCTGCTAATTAACACATGGGTGTGAGAAGAAAAGCTATCTTCAGTAATTCATCTGTACAACTTGTAGCATTGCTAAAAACATAGTTATTAATTCTGTTAAAGCAGCATCAACTTTTACTATGAAAACCTAGGTACTGAAAAATTGTGACTCTGTCCCCTCAGGTATCTTTATGGTGGTGCTATTAAAGAAAACATGAAAAAGATATAAATTCTGTGTCGTCCCCCCCCATTTATTTGGAAATTGTAATGAAGAATATTTTGTAAAAACATCTTGTAAAGTTGAGGATTCCATAATCGGGAGCTTTAGAAATCATAAGAAGTATTTGAAACCTTAGATAAAGCCACTGTAACTGGCAATATCAATATTCTATATGAACAGAAACACCTCATTGGTAATTAAAGCTCATAAAGCTTCAATGATTTGGGAATAAACTAGGTCTCCAAACTTTGCTAAGAGAAGGTGCCAAAGTGAATGAGAGTATATATAGATCCAAGTATCTTGTCTTTCTGGACTCGTTGTTAGATTGTTTGAGAGGCATGTCACTTATTAGAATTTGATTTTGCAATTTTTCTAACTTAATTTGATTAACTTACTGTACTTCCATGTTACTCTTAAAATGCATGAAGTATTGTTTTTTGAATTCAATTAAAATGTGGAAAAATACTGATTTTTAGATCCCAGTATACATCCCAATTAAAAATATGTTTATGGGCACAGTAACCCAAAAATAGATTGAAGTTTTAATTTATACTTCAAATTACTGCTGTGAATTTTTTTGTTTGGAACAATAATATTCCACCTCTATTGTCTGTGAAGTGTTTTATTCACTAGTCTCTCCCTCTTTCTTTATCCCAGCTTCTAATTATTGCCACTGTACCAAAAAAAACCAACAAAAGTTAGGATGGCCTCATTAGCATGCCCTTGTAGTTTTCGAGTCAATGATTTTGGTATTTGGGAAGGATCCTTTTCCCACTCTGCAAGGTGAAAATGTTTTGATTTCTGTCTCATTGCTTGATCAAGTAGACGCTTGAAAGATTGTTTCTTTTTCTCCTGATTCCTTATGTCCATACAGGTCAGGAAGCTCATTTGGGAAGGCACTTTGTGTTTAGTCCAAGAAGGACTCAAAAGTGGTTTTCTTTACCGCGCTACTGCAGAACTCAGTTGCAGGGAGAATGTTGTTCCTGGACCTGTTGGCTGTGGGTTGGCTGAATTATGTGAAATGGCAAAGCAGCTTCCAGCTGTGAATGAAAGCGACCATCAAGTTGTACATCTGCTAGATGATGAAATCTCCATTCCAGAGCAGGACCTGCTTTCATGTGTTACGGAAAACAGCTCAAGCAGTGCAAAGATAGTTGTGTTAATGGGGCAGAAGTACTTGGTGCCACCAAAAAGCAGTTTCCTTTTATCTGATATTTCATGTTTACAGCCCCTGCTGAACTGTAAGTATCTCTAGGCATTAGAATTTAGCACTTCTGTCCTGCCTCAGAAGAGCAATTAACATCAAGATAACTTCATCTGCTCGATGAACAGATTTTAATATACAATATCACGCTGATAAAAATGCCACTTTGAAAGCTTGCAGCAACATTTCCTAACTTTGTGCAAATAGGTTTTCAGAGGAATTTTGAATGGTTAGGAACTCATGTCATGAATCTCAGCCACAGCATTTTACATGATGCCCAAAATACGGTAATTTGTGGGCATGTTCTGAGCCACTGTGAGAATGGAAGTCACAAAAATGCAGTAAATTGGTATTAGCTATGCTGCTTAGTCCCTGTTTTGCAGAATGAGGCTGTATAATAGATAAGTCTGTGCTGCTGGAGCAGCATTCCTTCTGTCTTGACTTTTAGCTAGATTAGACCAGGGGAGAGAGATGAGATTATGTACCTTAAAGCAAGGATATCCCTTACAGATTCATCCTGTTCGGTGGCAGAGTCTGTTTAGATAGGCATGAGCTGCTTGTGAAACCAACCCCAGTGTCCCTCAGAGAAGCTGCTGCACCCAGCTGGAGGTGAACGCCACTTTGGCAAGACCACGAGTAGCAAACATGAGTTGACTTCTCAGCGGCTACACCTCATAGCTGAGAGTATTGGGAAATATAAAATTGAAGAGTCCTGTTCTTTCATATATATTCTATCCTCCAACTAAAGTAAATCCTGCTTTTCCCATGAAAACTCTTTCAGTTCTCTTTCTCTTGTCCCTTAATTTCCATTTCACGCTCTGGGTCTAGCTCTCTCTCTCTTCACCTCCAGTATTGCAAAACACAGTTTTGCAGGGCTGGTTTGGAGCTCTGTGTGTCCTAGTTGGCCTGATGGAAGATCAAACAGGACAGGAATCTTGTGTTCAGGGCTGCAGCCTTTCTTTCAGCTGGCTGCCTCATTACGGAGCTGCTGGTAGGAAGCTCAAACAAATTTTCATCTTTGAGACTTGCATTCTGCTATCAGGTTTTTTTTTTTTTTTTAAAAGTCCCCAAGGTGTTCAAAATTTCTTAGGGGGATCTGGCACAGATCACATAAATGTCTTTTCCTTAGGTTAATCAGCCTAAAAATATCTGAAGTATATAATTATCTGGATTAAAACAAGCATGCTAGAAGTCTTTTACCTTCTTATTTGGAAAAAACAGAAGAAAATTGTGGGTTTGCTGCATAATTGGCTCTTTAAGTGTTGTCTGAATGTGAGTAGCTAAGCCTTCATAAGTTTTAACTAGTAGACTTATTTTAAAACTAATTTAAAACTAATTTACAGGCTTTTTTTTGTAATTTCACTTCCCAGACAAGAAAAAATATGATGTAATTGTGATTGACCCACCATGGGAGAACAAGTCCGTTAAAAGAAGTAACAGGTAAATCTTATTTTAAAATCAAACAAACATTTTTGTTTTAGCTTACATTTTATTATAAATTAATGTTTTGATATACTCATGCAATCCAAGACCAACATAACTGTGAGACTGTATCTTAAACTAGCAAATATTCTGGCATGTGTCTACCTTCAAGTCTATGAAATGTCTCAGGGATTTCACTGAAATGGCTTGGATACTTTGCCTGCAAAATATTTGCAAGAGTAGATCTTAAATTACCAAACTGCTGAGAGAATGTTAGTCCTTGAGACTTAACAGGAAAGCCTGGAGTCAACTGTTTTGTAAGGCCCAGATCATGCAGATATTAATTTGAAATGAATAGGTTTACTTTAGTGGGCATAAGTAGATAAATGTGTATTTCCAGGACTGAGGTCCAATTTAGAAGTTTTAGTTTTTTAAATTTTTTTTTTTTTAAATTTGAGTTGTAGTTTGAGCTTCAGTCTGGTGGGTAGAAGAGAGGAAGTGATGATGCAGCAGTAAAATCCTCAAGTGCAATAGGAACTTTCAGAGTACTGTAGTTTATGAAGTCATTAATTTAAAATTTTATGGGCTTCCTTCTCCACTGAGTAACATCAAGCTTATGCCAGTAGAGCTCTCTTGATTACCATAGAATTGTATCCATGTGAAAGAAGGGCGGGCAGGAATTATATCCTTACAACTTTCTAGAATAATGTCTGCTGTAGCTTTGAAGCTTGTTAAGAAGACATAATTTGAAGATGCAGGGACTGATTAGTAGGCTTTACTTTGAAAGCCCTACAGAAACCTCTAGAAATCCATAGTTAAACTCATTCAAGTGTTTTTCTTAACGATGTAAGTTACTCAAAGGAAAACTGGTTATTCACAGGCATGAATTAGGCATCAAGACCCTCTCTCCCTTACAAAATAAAGGGAAAAGGTGGAAGAGCTATTGCTGCTGTTACTTACCTTGTTGACGGCTAATCTTTGTTAAGCATTTCACATCTTGTGAATCTTGTTTTCTCTGTGCAGTCTAATCCAGGAGGTATTTTGGATTTTATCCTTTTTACTTGTTTCTCACTGTTGCACTGTATAGGGAACTCAGGCACCTGGACACCTACTGGGTGGAGTGCCCATGTTTTTGATGTTGCAAGGTGTAGGTTCCAAAAATTGCAACTCACTAATAGCGTAGAATAGCATTGTGAGAAAAATGGTAGAACAGCATCTGTATTCATCAATGTAACATAAAGTTAGCTCAAAAATGTGCGAAACTCTTCTGAGTAACCTAGAGAACTTTTGCCATGAATGGTAATTTAAAAACAATGAATAACTTCTGCAAATAATTGGAGAACTGATTACTCTTTTATGACCTTTTAACTTGTCAGTCAAGCTAGTGTTTCCCTTGCACTTTTAAATGACTCACTTGTCATTTTCATTCAGAAGAGAGATTGGTTATTATGAAAAGTGAATAATGTTACATTGACTGAAGAGCTACTTTGCACTAAATGGCTTTGTTCTGGCGTAAAGATGAGAGTATTGAATTACATATGATAGTTCTTAAATTAAACACGAGCTTTTAAATTAAATGTGGGCTTTTAGACTTCTTCAGAATCACAACTCATAATACTTTATTTGGGGGAATAGTAGAAATATGCAGTTAAAGGTTCTGCTCGGTAAAACTTAAGTACATACACTAATGATTTTATATGAGAATCTATCAGATATGGCCACTGGGTGTCAGTCTTGGTACATTTTTATGATTTGTCAGGAGATAATTCTTGAAATGTCTTGGCTGTGTAGTTTCTTTATCTGTTTGTGTTGCTTTGCAATTTTTGTATTTGGTATACACTAACTTGGTTTCTCACTGTACTGGCGTATAGGTACAGCTACTTGTCTTCATGGCAAATCAAGCAGATTCCTGTACCAGCACTCGCTGCTCCAAATTGCCTTGTAGTCACGTGGGTGACTAATAGACAGAAACACTTACGGTTTGTTAAGGATGAACTGTATCCTCATTGGTCTGTGAAGACACTTGCCGAGTGGCATTGGGTAAAAGTAAGTTCTCAATTTGTTTTGTTGCTTTCTTGGGGACTCAGAGGGCTTGCACTATGACACTTTATATTCTTATAATTCGTCTATTTATTATCACATCAAAGAAAATGTCTCAAGAAATTGTGAATGAAAATCTTCCACTGTGTATTTTTAACTCTTTATGTTAGATTACTAGAGCTGGAGAATTTGTATTGCCTTTGGATTCTTTACACAAAAAGCCCTATGAAGTTCTTGTATTGGGGAGAGTACAAGGAGATGTAGAAGAAGCCTTAAGGTATGCTGGGGATATTTATGGTAAATGTCTTTTTGAGGCAGCTAGGATTCTCTTTCTATGTATCACTTGTTCATTATATAATACAATGTCCCAAAATCTTATCTTGGTGTCATCTTTTGGCTGATTTTGGACCTAAAAATAGCTTTACTAGCTTTGGGATGAGGTAGTGCTTTAGTGAGATTGAAGGGTGGAAACCCTTGCCTGTTCCGTGTTTCTGTCTCTGTTGGTGAACTGGCTCAGATAAAGCCTTGTGGATGGGACTTCATTTGCTGACAGGTTCTCTTGGACCATGAGCCCTTGGCACAGGCTGGTGCCGTTTTAAGGATGCTGATCTTTTTCTACACATGAAAACATACAGGCCTATGTTGTTTATTCTCAATGGCTTCGTATGGCTATTGTTAACCACATTTTCTATAGTCTCGGTGATTTCATAAACAGTCCTTTTATGTATGATGGCTAAGCAACACTTAACTTCCCTTCAACTTACCTGGAGTTTGGCTGTGTGTTACCTCCTATCTGGTGTAGCTCTGTGAGACCTGCAGCATCACATTTGGTGGTATTCATTCTCATATGCCTTTTCTTGTTCTGATTTATGCGACAGGAAATCTGAAGATGTCCTTCCAATTCCAGAACATAAGTTAATTGTCAGCATACCTTGCAGTCTTCATTCACATAAACCCCCTCTTACTGGTACGTTTTGTTTTGTTGTGTAATGTTTCTGTAGGGCATTGGACTTGGATGATTGAAATGCTGTACCTAGAATGAGAGACCTTTATATATGAAGTGCCTAAATTTCTCATATGCCAAGCAATTTTGCTCAAGAGGACTTGTGGTTCCTCGACGTTTCTAGAAACGTCAGGCACCTAAGTTTTTGTGTCTAAAAATGGATATGAAAAGTAGAACTTGAAGCATTGTGTGAATGTTTTGGGTAGACACGTACACAAAAGTCGCATTTTTTTTAAAATTTGTGTTTTAAATGCTGCAGGAACAGTTTGCAGATACTGTATATATGGAGTTATGCCAAATGACCTAAAGTTCCTGGGGAGGGGGGGGAAACCTTTGGGAGTATATAAAATAGGATATATGTGGCAACAAAGGGCACGGACTTTGCCAAGTGATGAAGCCAAGACATTTAATGTTTCATTTTTACAACATATATAGTTTCTCTCTTTTGATCACGTGCCGTGCTCTCTACACAGACAGGTTGTGGGGGCCTGTCCATGACCTGTTATGAGCAATAGAATTGGCCACATAAAAGTGTTCATGCCCAGGCCAATTAGTCATTATTATTTGTTTTGTTATATTGTTATCTATTTGCTAGCTTTCTATCTATTTTGCTGCCTTCACATTATCATAGAAGGACATTGTTTACTGTTCTCAAGGCTTCCTTCCCATCACTGCAAGAACACCTGCCGAGCTCTTGCTCAGCAGTGTGTCTCCACGATTCCTCACTCCCCACAGATATGTTCTACTTTGATAATAAAAGCTGAAACCTCTTTCTTTATTATGTCATCCTGAAAGAAATGTTTTTATTTCTTCATGACCTGCTTATATGTTTGCACTACAGTTGCATCTTTAAGTCCAAAATCTTAATTATTTTAAAATTATTAACAACAGGTAACAAATAGGGCATGCCCTGCTTGTTTCTGAGGTGCTGTGTTTGATTTACTGAAATTGATGCAGTAACTCCAACCAGCCAGTTGGTGTGGGTATGAATTCAACTTTTGAGAGTTTTTGTCCAAAGGATTTGAAGATTTCTGTGTGATACCCTACCTTTTGCACATTGTTCTGGGGCAAGCTTACTTTGCCTAATTCCATCAGTAGAAATTCATACTTCCTCCATCATTATAGCACCTGAGTGCCTTACAATGCTATGTAAGAATTAAATACCTCTCACAAAAGCAGTTTCATCCTCCTCCAAGGGGAAAACTCGTGATGAATCTGCAGGCATTCCTGGTGCACATGGAGCTATGTACTCACATCGGAAAAGGCAGGTAGAGAAAACGCATAATGCTGTTGGAGAGACATCACAGTTTGCTTCATGCTTTCCTTTTTCTCTTCTGAAATTTCAGTTAGGAAGAAATTTCTTCAGAAAAGTTTCGGTTAGGAAGCTGATCTGGACAGTTGTTACATGTTCAGGGATGCTTTAAAATTTGTATTTAGTAAATTAATGTACGTGTATATATGCTTTTTCAAAAACTAGAGAAGATGCATGCTTTGGTTAGCTAAAATAAGTTTAAAATAATCGAAATTTCAGTTAGGAAGAAATTTCTTCTGAAAAGTTTCGGTTAGGAAGCTGATCTGAACAGTTGTTACACATTCAGGGATGCTTTAAAATTTGTATTTTGGGCTTGTATTTATTAAATTAATGTACGTGTATATATGCCTTTTCAAAAACTAGAGAAGGCACATACTTTGGTTAGCTAAAATAAGTTTAAAATAATAGGCAATTCTAGGAGGATCTTTTTGCAGTTCTGAAGCCACATCTTTAAGAATTAGGGTTACGGCAGGAAGTGTACGTGTTTGTTTAAGCTAATGAACGGTGGGATAATGATTTGTGAGGCAGCCACCTAGGGCCTCTAATCTTTTTGCAATTTTGAAGCCCACATCTTTAAGAATTAGGGTTACAGCAGGAAGTATATGTGTTTGTTTAAGCTAATGAACGGTGGGATAATGATTTGTGAGGCAGCCACCTAGGGCCTCTTTAGAAAACCAGTAGTTAGCAGCACACTCAGACACAAACAAGAAACTTGTGAGCTATCCAAGGGTGCGAAACAGCAGCTTGTATGTATTACAGAGAGTTCTAGTGCCAGAATTGGAACATTGCTTTTGTAGGGCAGAATCTAGGCACCATTATGGGGAAATCTTTATAAGTCATGATCCTGAATGGGTTTTGAAAGAAATTGCCTCTGCTAATTTATATATTTCTTGAGTCTTTACTTGAATGCTGACGTTTGATACTGTTGTGCAGCCCTTATGTTTCTATTTGAAAAACTAATTTGCTGTTGAGCGACATCAGCGACTTAGAAGGTTTTTACAAAATTCCGTGTGTATCCTACAGTTTCAGCAGCTCCATTCAGAAGGTGGTTATGGCGTGAAAAGGTGGGCCGAAAGCTAATTGCAGATGCTTTGACTTCAGTGTTGTAAAAGGGTATGGCTTTTGTGATCGGACAGTATTCTCAAGCGGCCAGTAGAGAGAGCAGCCGAGCTGCATCCTAGGGTGGTTCAAAAGAAATTAGAACAGAAGCAGAGATTTGGCAATGGGGGAGAAGGACACTTGATGAGTCACACACATTCTTTATGCTTTGTTTAAGTAGTAACAAAGCCAAAAATATTAGTATTTACTGATGCTGTCTGGCACTTTTTATTTCTCGTTACTTTTGTAAAGGCTGTATGTTGGTACATATGTAGCCACTTAATGACTGATTATAACAGTTTATCTCTCTGGGGGAAGAGAAAGATGTAAATTAAAGTAAGCCATCAAATAGAGATATTTGGGTTCCTACAGTGCGTTTAACCATGAAATTGCAACTGTAGGGGTTTTTGGTGATGCATGTGCTGTGTTCAATGCTTAGAGCTTTAATATGTCATTGTAAATGTACTTAAAATTTCATTTTAACACATTTGCATAAAGAAGCTTATTACTCCTGGTTCTGGTTCAAATAACAGCAGGTTTTCTTCCTAATTCAATTCAGTGTTGCTCTTAGAAGACATAGAAGGTACTCTGTTACACAGACGGTGTGAGGTAATGGAGAACTTCAGACATCTTTTTTCCTTTTCCTGTTTTATAGATTCTTCTTGTTATAGACATTTCTTCTTCAATTTTTAAGTATGTACATCTATGGCTAGAAAATAATACAGAGTATGCCTAAAAACATTGGAATTGATTCTTGGCTGTGTTCTAGACACTTTGTATATTTCCAGTAGAAGAGTGCAATGGTAAGTCTTTGGAACTCCCTTCCCCTGTAGCAACCCTGGCTTGTTAGGCTGTGTTATAAAAGTGATCTTGGAAGTAAAAAGAAGTAAATGCCTTTTGTGCACCTTGTGAAGCCTTAGTTTTAGACTAATTGATAGGTCCGTCAACATCAAGGTTGAACGTTAAGCTCAGATGCAGATATGTAAAGCCATCTTTGTGCTGAGTTTCATATCTTTTTCTGGTCCTACTCTGTTCAAGGATTAGGCAAACTGGGCAATAATTGCAAACATTACAAACTCTTTTGAAGGGTTACTATGAAATGAGTTCAGTCCTATGCTTGGTGTATTGTATGGCTCACAGATCAAACAGCAAAAAGCCAACAAAGTAATTTTCACTTTAGAGCTTGCTTTTTAGGTAACAGAAGCTCAAAAGATAAGGGGAAGCTGTTGCTTGTTTCAAAAGTGATTCCTCGTTTTGCTTATGTAAACATTTTTAGCAGGGTGCATCTTCAATGCATGTTTGGGGTTAAGAGTAAGCAGGTGTGGCAGGTATCCTGCCTGACCACTGGATCGCGCTTGAGAAGGAAGTGGGTTTTCCAGAAGATCAGTGTTATATCTACCAGCCGACTTTGTGCTGACATTGTGTGTCCTAGGGCACTACATGTATAGGTGTCTGTGTTGTTCTCATGGTATTTATTACACCTGCAAGTGATAAAGAATAATCTCTTTATCGTGTATGTAAGTTGTTTATTGTCAGTGGTATCTGTCAGCAGATGGAAGTAAATGTTGGTGGTTTTTTTTTTTTGTTGTTGATGGGTTTTTTTAAAAAATCTATTCCTGTTGTAGAAAAACTTAATATTTGATCTTTCTACTGATGAAGGTCCTCTAACCTGTTGTCAGAGGAAGAATGTCCAGAGTTTTCTTAAGGGCTGCAACTCAGATGTAGCTTCTTTGTTAGGCTTTTATATCACCAGAAGGCTATAAATTACAAATTGAACACTGACTTTTCCTATTTTGAGGAAACCAGTGTAATGAGATTTTATGCCAACAAAATACAGCCACATTATTGCCCTCTTGATATGGTAATTTTCATTGCAGTGGAAGTTGCTGCCTGATGTGATTATGTAAATACATACAACCTAGCAATGAAAAATCATACTATAATGTGATCTTGAATTACATATAATGTCTCTTTTAAAAAAAAAAAACCTCTGACAAAAAAGACATCCCCCTCGGCCCTGCTCTGGCAGCAGGAGGAGAGATTCCTGGGACTTCCTGTTTAAATTCTTTAACCAAATCAATTGAAAGATTGGCACAACCCTCCTGCCTCTGCTGAACTGATCTGTTTTTTGGCTACATCTATTTTCCTTTTTGGGAAACCAATCTTTGAGGTTGGTTGAATCTCTTAAGTCTGCTTTTCAAATTTGTTCTCTTAGGCATGGATGTATTTGGTGCTTAGTAAACTGCTTTTGATTACTGGGCTTTGTGCTGTGATGATATTTTTAATCTATACATTTTGAGAACAAATGTCAACATTACTAATGTGCTTTTAATGAAATTTTGTCACCTAAGTAATTGATTCCTCTACTAAGAAGCCTGTATAAAGCACGATATAGTTCCCCTTCGGTTTTATGTGGAAGGTGGAAAAAAGTCATATAAAGCCTGATTCTGCGGTAGGCTTTGCATAATCTCATGCTCATTAGGGTCAAAAAGATACCCTACAGATGTGGGGATCTGCTCACAGAGAGCTTATTGAAAGCTTTGGACCTTTGCTTTCAGTTGTCTCTTCCTTCTGTGGAGAAAGTGCAACCTCCTGCAACATGGATTTTCTTAGATGATCAAGAGAATACATTTTTGGAAGACTTTATTGAAAGTCATAAAATCATAGAATGGTTTGGGTTGGAGGGGACCTTTAAAGGTCTTGTAGTCCAACCCCCCCTGCAATAAGCAGGGACATCTTCAACTCCATCAGGTTACTCAGAGCCCCGTCCAGCCAGACCTTGAACGTCTCCAGGGGTGGAGCATTTACCACATCTCATGGCAGCCTGTCCCAGTGTTTCACCACTCTCATTGTAAAAAAATCTTCTTCCTTATGTTGTCTTAATCTACCCTCTACAGTTTAAAACCATTGCCCCTTCTCCTGTTGCAACAGGCCTTGATAAAATGTCCCTCCCTATCTACCCTGGAGGCCCCTTTTAAGTACTGAAAGGCTGCAATAAGGTCTCCCCAGAACCTTCTCTTCTCCAGGCTGAACAACCCCAACTCTCTCAGCCTGTCGTCATAGGAGAGGTGCTCCATCCCTCTGTATTAGCAGCAAATTGTGCACAAGAAATCCTTAGCTCAGTAAAGTATGGAAAAAGAACAATAAATTTTACCACTCTTTTTTTTTTAATATGGTGGGTTTGGAAAATGGTATAATACCAGCTACTCATAAGTGGTGTCTAATTAGATGAACTCCCGTGACACCCAATAGCAATGTTCAGCACAGCAAGTTTTCTGTCAGAATATACATTTTTCCTCTAAACCTCCCAAACTCTTCTCTGCAAATGTTAGACTTGTTTAAACATTTTAGCTCGCCTCTGAAAGAAGCAGGTTTTTAGAATAAGATTCCTGCTGGTAGCAGGATTTTTTAGATTAAAAGCTGCCTTGATAATAACCCATCTGAGACATTTATTTGACATTTGTTAAAGATTGGTGGAAGGAGAATAGATTTATATGCCATGCCAAAAATACAAGAAAGTCTGGAAACACCTATTACAAAATACTTATGAAAAAGTTTTGAATGGATTGACAAGCTCAGCTGGGATCTCACAGGGAGTCTCTGATGGGCAAACTTGATGCAAAAAGTCAGAACTTGGATTGCACCAAAAAAACCCCCCAAATAAAACCATTCCCTCTCATACTTTGATGTATGCTGATTGGATTTATTTTTGCTTTCTGCAATGATCCTGTCTGAAGAGACTGAGTCAAATAGCATAATGTTGGATTTATGAGTTGTGTTTTTAAACTACAGAAATTCAGAAACCACTGGGATATCTGGACAAAAATGACCAAGATATCCTTTGGAAAAGGAAATGATTTCACAGTTGGTGTTTTTTGTCCTCAGTCACAAAAATAAAAACTTAACATGTAATTTTTAGTTAGATATATGTTTTTCAGTCTTTCTGCCTCTTTTGTGTTGGGTGCTCCTTAAGCGTTGACCTTTTTTATGTATGTTTTTATACATAGTATCTTTGTAGCTGTTTTCTGAAATGTAGTTAAGAATTTGTTTGACCCGACCACAAACTAAATGGCTCTCTGACAAGTAATATGCTTAACAGTAAACTGTTTGCAATAATACTTTACAGGCGAAATGCAAGATCTTTTTCTGTCGCTCCAAGAATGCCAGTAATAATTGGTGACACAATTGATGTTAACGACAGGCATCTATTTATTTGGATTTAAGCTGTAAAAAAATGCCCAACTGTAGAAGAAATTTAAGATTTATGTTACTGAATGAAATACTATGGTTGTGGTTATTTCTTCAGTTGCCAAGTTGGTTTTGGGGAAGAAGTTCTCCCTGCATTTTTATAGCCCTTTTTAGCTCTATGTCTATTTAACTGGTGTTTCTTATTTTGCATTTTAATGGTTGTCGTAGAAAAAAAAATATGCTTTTATCCCCTTAAAGATGTGGAGGAAACAAATATGATCTTAATTAAGGAAAGAATTTATTTATTTTTAGAAATGTTGACCCTGTGTTATAGGGAGTAAGTGAGTCTTTAAGAGGTGTTTGGTTGATATTAGTGAAAAATTCAGAACTCATTTATGTAGAGGCTGAAATAAATCCTCATTCCCTTTCTGTAAATGAAAACCAATAAATCAAGGCTATTGAAGGCCTTGACAGTATTGTTCAGAATCTCAAGGGCACTTATTTAAAATGACTTTCTCACTATAAATAGTCCAGGTGTTTGATGAAACCCTTGAAATTAATTTGCTGCCTCTCCCTTTTTTAATGAAACATTTCGTTTTTCATCTACTAGCAGCACAGGGGAGATTTTATTTGTTTACTATTGTTATTTGTACCTTTGTCACTGTTGTGATCTTTTTATTTTTTTTTTTCCCTCTTGCACAGCGGTTCTGGCAGAGTTTATCAAGCCAGATGTGGAATGCTTGGAGTTGTTTGCTCGCAACCTACAGCCTGGCTGGACCAGCTGGGGAAATGAAGTTTTGAAGTTTCAGCACGTTGATTATTTCACTCTTCTGCAGAATGAAAACTGAGTTGGGCCTTGTAGCTTAATTCTGAAATTCCACATCTTCCCAGCAAGTTCTTGAACTTGCCTTTATTACTGATTTACCCAGAAGATAACAGAATTCTCAAAGCGACAGAGTATCTGTTTAATGGTATCTCCATTTGTACAAGCTCGTCCTTTGTTTTGATGATACTGAGATATGTAAAAGTCCATCCTTGAGGGTGTTTTCCAAACCTCAAGAAAAGAAAAATATTTTAAAGTATTCTTACTGCAGCTATCAAATCTGAGCATTGTAAGTGTTACAGTGTTGCCTTTGTAATGTACTATTTTTAAAGAATGATATGTTACTTTTAAAGAGTGGCAATGGGAGGAAGCAGTTCTGAGTTACATATGCTTCCTTAAAGAAGGCTGTTTCTTGCAAAACAGTGGATTTTGAACTAAAATACTTATGGAGCCAGTGTATCTTCCTGCAAGTTTGTATCTGTCTATCTACCTCAGAGGAAATGAAAGGAGTGGTGCTTGTGTTAACTGGCAAATGAACTGTTGACTGACCACATTCTATGTCAAATTACACTTTTGAAAAAGTCAGCATATACTTCCTGTGTATGGCATTCATTCTTTGAATACATTGTAAATGATCGGTCTCAACATCTTATAAATTCTGCATATGCAGCTGTTAGATTTAACTGAAATTTTAACAGAATGTAAATATTTTAAAAATTCTCTTTCCTTATGTTCATGGAACATTGAAAAGCTGTGCCAGTGAGCTGTATTTTTCAGCTAGCATAAAAATAATAATTTTTTTTTTAAAGAATGGTACACTTTGCGTGTCTTTTGCTGCCCTTAGATTTGCTTTGAAAAATAAAAGGAGGAGACTTAATGAAGCCCCTGCCATGTACTTGCAGTAGTAGAGGCAGAGCTGCTGGACAAGCTGATTTTCCCGAGGGCAAGCTCCTGAGTTCTGACTGACTGTTTATAATGGGGAACAAAATGCATTGCATACCTTCGTTACATTCACTTCCTTTGTGGCAGTCTGATGAGCTGTGAAGGTTTTTAAATTAAGCTTTAAACATTAGCAGATTATTTTTTGATACTTTTGTAATAAAAATTAAAATAAAAACTCATCAGTGTACAGTTTGCAGACCCAGTTTCTATATCACCATTTAATGTCATATTTTGCCTATTGGAGCAGTAGAGTTAACAGAACAAGGAAAATGCTTTTTGTCTTTTTTTTTTTTTTTTTTTCCTTCCCTTGTTAAACATATACTCAAAATAAGTAAATAATGTAACACTGCAAGTAGTTACCAGGAAAAACACTTCTTGCTGCATGATTTCATTTAGCCTGTATTTTAAACTATCCGTACAACAAGCAGCCTTACCCAGGAGGGGTAAGATACCTTACTTTAACTACAGGGGATAAGAAGGTTCTTTATTTACTTTCGGTTTTACAAGATGTTCTCTACCTCAAGCTTCTGAGTTCCCAGGCAGAATTCCCCTCCCAAGATGGTCTCGTCCAGAACTAAATGAGTGTATGAGACTTAAGTATGGAATAAATCAAAACCGCTGAACGTACCTTGTTTTCCCTTTGTACTCTGTAACAGCACAAGAAATGATGATATTGTCTGTTCTACATCCGCTGCTATGAATGGCTCTAGATTATCTTTTAATTGCAAATAAAGGAAAGGGACAAACAGTCTTGGAGACCAGGAAACCACCTTTTTCCTCCTTTGAGCTAAGCAGCAGATCCCTTCTAAGGGAATGACTACCTTCAAGCTGTTTAAGAATTGATGCCTATTTAATTTATCATCTTTTCTGTGGAGTCCCTTTGCAAGTTGCAGCCTTCCTCTGTTTTCTGAGCTGCCGTACTCAGAACCTGACCAGCTAATTCCAGCAACTGGGAATCCAGCCTCCTGATTGTGGTTTGTATGTAGATGGCATGTGCAGGCAGGCTGTAACCTCCTCAGGCTGGAAATCAAAAATTGGAGATTGGAGTCTTAAATAATACCTGATCCTGTCATAAATAGTTATAAAATTGTAACTTCTACAGCTGCTTCCTCTGTTGCTTTTCCAGCCCTCTGGCTGTGAAGAAAACCTTGTGAATATGATAGAAATGGTGTTCTCCACCTGCAGCCAACCTGAAACTGTTGAGTTTTCTTAGGGGGAGGTTCAATATATCCCAGTTTGTGGCTATTTCAGAAATCTCAGGGTGGCATTAGCAGTTGATAGTTTCAGGGTCATTTTAAAAATGTAATTATTCACCTGTTATGCTTAATTCATAGTTTAAATAACCTCTTACGCTCTTCTAGCTGTCCCCAATCAGCCATCAGATCTTTCAGTGTCAGTCAGATGATTCCTCTGAGGCAGAATCCAAAGTGTACTGAAAAATCAGTGGAGAGTGAAGCCAGCTAAATAAAAGGACAATTTAAGATCCAATTTCCTTTTAAAAAAGAATAATATTATCTGTATCAATTGCTCTATGTTACTTTTGGTAATATGGTGATGGAAAGATGCCCTCTGTTGTGTCAAATCCTCTATAAAAAAAGAAACCTGCTCTGAAGAGTTTACAAACTTGGTAAGAAGTGACAGAACAAGGGAGAAGATAAGGATGGAGGAATGCAGGATAATAATGAGACATTCAGGCAAATGTGGTAAGTAGCAGCCTCGGCATTATGCACATCTTTGGTGCTTCTAAGAAATGATAGGTTCTTATCCCCAATTTTTAAAGAGATTTTCTGTTTTTCTATTTTGGTATGTTAAACTTCACACATTCCAAGGAAAAATAAGTGAAGTGCGTATTTTACTACCAGCATTGACAAAAGAGAAGTTTTTTTCAGTTCTAAATTCCTTCTCTGGCGGTTTGGTGAAGTGAAAAGTGTGCTCAATAATTTTCAGAAAGTGCTTTATTTGGTACATCTGCTGTTATTTTAGCAGGACAATGATAAAAACGTTCTTTCACTAGGTGTTCTCCACAACTTAAGGCCTTTTAAAATTATGTCTTATTGCAAAAAGATCTCCGTTCATAAAGCAATAAGAAGTAATGTTAAGCTATTCCTATATGTAGAGTACATCAAGTGTCATAATCAAACTTAGTTTTATGAAGCTTCAGGTTTGAGTATGATTTTGAAATGTCAAATTAGCATATGACCTTTACTTGTATTTTTAAACTTTTATAAAGTAAAAAGAATTATACCAGTCAGATATGTTTTTGGAATAGCGATTGCTAGGTGTGAACTCCTGTGGTAACAGGGAAGTTTCTTTTGCAAGATTAAACATTATTTAAGAAGTGAAGTAAGCGAGCAGCTCTTACCTCTGTATAGGATTCAGCTCAGGTAGGTGTCAGCAGCAGTAGAGTTGACTTTGAACATCGATTTCTAAACTCTATAGACAATGATAAAATAACAGGAGGAAAATGCTACTATGCCCCGAGAATTTTGTTCATTAACCTCATCATCCCACTGTGGCGTCTTGGGTGCTCCGAGCTAAATGGTGATCACCTGAGAAGAGAAGAGGTACAATCCTGTTTGTGGCCTGGTGGTCAGAAGTGGGAGGCCATGGCAACAGAGGCGGCTGAAGTACCATGTTGCCACATTCTTGGAGCTGAGGATTTGGAATTGTGGCAATAGAAAAACTGAGTGTTGTCACAGGGACATAAAAATGTGCGAGCCATGTGAAAGAAAGCTGTGATTTCCCCATTAATCCTTGTGTTGCCTAATTTGTAGGAATAAGGATAGAAAAGAATCAGCAGTAAATGAGATAAACAGAACAACGGTACTGTAGCAGGATTCTTTTCCACAGCTGGGATTTTATTTATCAGTTTCCTCATGCTACCTGTTTGGTAACAAAAGAGCAAAGCGGAGCCTCATTGGATGACCAAATGGAAATGGCAGCCCTGCCTGTGAATATGGGTGACTTTTTTCAGGGCAGCTAGGGAGATAGTATTCATGGTTAGGTACTAATAATAAAATGCTACAAAGGCTAATATTTGAGTAAGAGATTTTTCCTTCTGACATTCAAGATGCAGTGGCATGTCTTCTTTTTTCCCCTGTCAGTAAGAAAATTGTCTTAAAACAAAATAGCAGTAATGCTTATTGCTAGTTGGAATATTGGGCACCCTTATTCAGTTTTCCTTTTCTGTTGTAAAAACCAAACATCTGCTGAGGGAGAGGGAGGTCAGACGTTTTGTCTCTTCCATTGCCTCTGTTTGCACCAAACTAAACCTTGTGGAGCTGACAGTCCCATAAGCACCTGGTGGGATATTTCTCACCTTGGCCTGTGTTAGACCTCCTCTTTTTTCCATTCTGTTTCCTCCCTCAAACAGCACCTCTTTAACAGTTAATGTGTAAGGCAATAAGGGACTGTAAAAAGGAAATGACAAAGTGGAAAGTGATGCCCAAAATGCAGTGGAACGATGAGAGGAGAATCACACGCTTTCATAGTCCCGTCCACAGCTAGTGCCACTGCAGTGCTCATGGCTCCCTAATGAGAATGTCCCATGAGACTAGCTCATACAGAGGTTCGGAATTTCCAATCTGTAAAGAGCCATCTCTCAGCTTTTTTGGAGATGGTAACATTTTTCAACATGGCAGGGTGAGTGCAGTTCCTCTGGCCAGCATCGTTAGCCAAGCGGACATTGCACACTGCCAGTTACAGGTCAATTGCAGAAACTACTAAACTCTGATTTTCATTTCTGACCTTTTTTGGCCTATTGTGTTTTCCTTTTTAGAAAATATTTTACTTAAAGGAAAATCCAGGTAAACAATTGTATTATTCATGCAAATTATAAGATGAAGGTCAAAAAGAGAAAAATGTTATCATTTCCTCCTCTCCCTAAAGGAGGCAGAAATTATTATATAGAAGTTAGAAATGGAAAGAATAGCTAATAATGTAATAGGCTAAAAATATCAGCAACGTGTCATGATTTTACAGGATCATTAACCAAAGTTTGTAGCTAAATTTTACCGTTTTATTTAATAGTATTGTCTCATAACAGTTATATGTTATTAATTCAGGAGACAGCTTATTGAAGATATTTTTATGACACTGTTACTGCCCTCAAACTGTTCAATGTGTTGTTTTAACTATGTGACCTTTGTATCTTTCATTACTCTGTGCACTCCAAAAGTTAGGCTGAGTTCAGAAAGGAAGTATGTGTCCTTTTCTGAGGTTCATGGTTCATCTATTGCTTCATATAACTTCAAAGAGACAGTTCTGACATAAAAAGTATGTTTTCCCACATCAAAGTGACCCAGTCAAAACTTCCATCTAAAATTTTATGAGGCCTACAGCCTAACTCATTAAAAAAAAAAAAAAAAAGAGGGTTTAGATTACAAAGAGCTATTTCTGATCAACTAGCAGGCAAGCAAAGTTACAAGGATTTCTAAATTTCTAATAAGGTCAAGGAAGTGCTGAACATAAGACGAATCTAAATATTATTACAATTTGCACTGCGTGATGCAACTCGCACATGTATATTATTTCTTCAGTCCTGTGATCTTCAAGGTTAATTGTGATAACCCTCAAAGTAAAAAATGCCACAGGAATCAACAATGTTAATATTCCTCCTAACATTATAGGAGGAAACCTTCTGGTTTTATAGTGCTGAAAAGCCTCATTTACAGAGGCTGGGAACTGTCTTACACAACAATTTCATTTTGTTGATATAATCATGACTTTGTATAACCATTTACATAATAGCATTATAGGTCTGTAAGAGAAACAGGATTATATTATTCCGTAACAAAGTTACTGAGGTTTTGGTATTATACTAAGACTCTGCTGTTACATATGATTTTCATGAGAATACTGTTTAAAGGAAATGATTTACCATTATCACACTGCTTTTTTTGAGGTCTTAAGTAGACCTCCAAAGCCTAGGCCTTTTGCTATCTGCTGGTGATAGTTGGCAATTTCACTCCAAATCACTATTGTGAACAAACACTTTTTTAAAATGAGCAGCTTGTCTATTCTTGCCCACTGCATACACATATGAGAAGGTGAAGCCAAATAAAATTTAATATCTGGCTTTGTCACACGTGTTTCTTTACAGGAGGATTTGATTATTGAACAGAGCGGTGTGTGCAAAAGAAGAAGATATCCCACAAATTTGGAGAGGAATGGTGGGCAGTGAATAGTGATCAGATGGTGGGATTGGTCCTCTCCATGGGGGATGTGCTTCCTTGCAGTTGGTCCCTCTGTAGTGGTCAGCACTCTGCTTGGAAAGGTTGCATCAATAACAGGGGATTCACTTAAAATAAAGAGGTCGCCTCTGAGTTTTTAAAGTTCATTCATAAATAATTGCTGGAAATCTAAATAGCTCTCTGAGTTTTCTAGATCTGATCATAATGCAAAGCCTCTTTGCATGACAGTAATAGCAAAAGTGAAAATAAATCCAAATTGGTAGAGTTAAGACTCCCTTCGCAGCCCAGAGACATGAGATGATATGTTTTGTCTTCATAATTTTTTGACTGTCTAGCCATTTCTGAAATGCTTACCCAGTGTAGATATAATAGTTTTCATTTTAAATCTTGGTAGTAGATATTTAGTCTGAGACCAGCTGCGACACTTAAGTATTT